GAAGTCTGCAGGCTGCAGCTCGGGAGAGAGCGCTCTCTGGGACTCAACCATTGGCACCTGATCTTGGACGTCCAGCCCTCTGAGCACTTAGGAATGAATGCCTGCTGTTGATCAGCCCCCCAGTCTCTGGCTCTTTGTTGGAACCACCCAAACTGGGCTCCACACTCCTCCAGAGCTCCCAGGGGAAGGACAGAAATAGGCCCAGCCCGGGTCCAGGGGCAGCCCCAGCAAAGAGCGCAGCCACAGCCGGCCTTAGGGCAGGTGCTCTGGAAACAGCAGGCCCGGAGCTCACCGACAGCCCACTCCCAGGCCTCGTCATGGGCTCATTCAGCTGCTCGGCATTGCCCTTGAGATGCAGGCCAACCCCACCAGCCTGTGCCCAGATGCTGGGCCAGGCTGCCTGCATTTTGGCTGTAGCTCTGCTACATTGTCACTGAAAGTTTCATCAAGTCACTGTCGCCCCTCTGTGCCTCAGTTTGCTCTCCATTAAATGGGGTGTGAGACTCCAAGTAGTAAGCAGCCCATAGGACTGTTGTGAGGATTAAGTGAGATACTAAGGGCAAGTTCCCCACACACGGAGAGTGGCCTCGAAGTGCCGGCCATCATTGGTCTGCTGTGGTCTGTAGTGGGGGGAATGACTGTCCCCTGGAGGAGGGTCAGAGGCCGGAGTGAGGGGAACCTGCCCAGAGGCCCCCTGCCTTCAGCCCCCTCCAGGAATGCCCATGATCCTCATCCTCGTAGACCCCCTGGCATTGGCCAGAATGGTTTAGCCTTTTTCTCCTGGAGGAGCTCAGCTCTTTCCTCCTCATCCCACCTCACAGAGTCCCCAGAGACTGCAAGGCTTCCAGGAGGACACTGCCCTTGGCACACAGAGAAACCAGGACCCAGAGAGGGCAAGCACGCAGCAGCCGACACAGCCCAGGAGCACAGCCAGCAGCCCGCTGGGAGGCTTTCACCTCAAGGGCATGATGTCCTTCCTCGCAGGCTCCTGTGCACCAATTTTCTCATTTGACCTCCCCTTCTAGAGACAGGGACCTTAAGCTCAGAGCAAATGGTGACTCGCCCGTGGCCTCACGGCTCGTTAGTGACAGAGCCAGGACTTGGGTCCAGGTCTCTGGATCCTAAAGCACTGTGGCTTAGAAGAGGTACCAAGGGATAGAGGTCAGAGCAGGGCGCTCTGGAATCAGCCAGAGCAGAATGCCAGTGGCATTACTTCCTGGCTGTGTGATCTTAGGCAACCTGCCTAAGGGCTTTAGTTGCCTTATCTATAAATGGGAATGATAGAAGCTATCTTACAGAGATTTCAGGGTGAAATGAGATATATAAATTTGCTTAGCATTTGAAATACGATAACTGGGAGCCTTAGGGCTTTCCCACATCTCCCCGGACCCAGCTGCCTTCCCACGCACACAGGCGCACCCACGCACGCTCTCTCCACTCGCCTCCCCATGTCTTCCCCTCAGCAGCAGGCAGCCGGTGGGTCTTAGACCAGCAGGCCTGGGCTGCGAGGGCTGGGGGGTTCCCCCTGGGGTTTCACTTTGAGCCTTGCATTGCTCTTGATCGACTCCCCCAGCTCAGCGCGGTGTTGGCAGGTTTCATGTGGCTGTCCTTTGCAATCATGCATTTCTCCCTGAAGGGTGTCCCATGATTGGCTGTTTTCTTTCGGTTTTCTGCCCTTTATTCCTGCCACTGTGCTTTTCGGATTCTTCCCTGGGAAGCAGCCAGCCTGGGCTCCCCGGTCCCTACCCCTGTCCAGTCGCCAGGTCTTTCGGAGCTGCTGTTCTGTTTTTCCACGTCCTCCCCCCCTTGCCCTGCCTCGCCCCCACCCAGTTCTATTTTCCCCCAGGCTCTGTTGGCTTCCCGTGGTTTCTCTTGGCTGTGGCTCAAGCCTGGCGAGACACATCTGGCACTGCCACCCTCTTGCTCCCACACTGGTTGGGGAGTGAGCAAGTGCATCCAGGCAGAGGGCGTTGTGGAGCTGGGTGCCACCCACCCAGGGGCCAGTTCAAAGAGTCCATGTCCGGCTGGGTGCCTGGGGCTCCATGCCCTACCCCTAGCCCACTCCTGACTCACCCACACCTACTTCCTAATGCCCCAGGATCTCATTCTAGCTCACAGAACATGGACTACAGGAAGGAAACTTCACTGAGGTTCCAGGCATGTCCACAAGAGCTTTGCGGGGACCCTCCTTTCAGAGGTGAGGAACGGCCTTCTCTAGGGACCTGAATCCCTAGGTGGGTCTGGCCTATTCTGGGGAGGATGTACCGCTCCCAGGAGGGGATGGGCCGGGATTCCCTGCCCCCTGCCCCATACACTGCCTCCTTGATCCATTGACTTCCAAGAGGAAAGAGGAAATTTCTATTTGTTGGGACTTGTGGGGTAGAAAGAAGAGCCATACAAGGAGGGTCATAAAAGTGGCTTCCCTTGCAGCCATGCTGGGCAGGGCAGAGCCTCTGAAGCCCAATGACACTGCCTGCCCTTGGAAGTCCCTAAACTTGTATGAACTTCTATTCCCTCATCTGACAGCAGTGGTGACAGTTGCTAAAGATGGGTTTCTGTGAGGATGAAATATGTGTAAACATCTCGTGTACAGGAGGTGCTCAAAAAAATTGCTCCCTTTCCCATGGCCTTCCTCCTTCTACCCGAGGAGAATCAGGACAGGTTAGAGCAATGGGTCCCTTGTGTCTTAAGCATAAAGTCCAAAACCTTAGCAAGACCCATGCCTACTCATTAGGCATTATCTCTTACTAATTCCAGACCCCTCTCCCTACTTTCCTTCCCACCAGTCCCCCGACATACATGCACAGTTCAGCCAATTCTCTAGAATTCGCTTGGTTCTTTCTTATCTCTGTACCTTTGCATGTGCTGGTCCCTCTGCCTGGAAGGTCCTTCTCTGCCTGTTCACCTGACTGACACTTACCTACGTTCAAGATGCAACTCAGGCTTTGCCTCCTGAGCAAAGCTTCAGAAACATGTGTAAAGTGAATGGCTCAATAACTAGAGAAACAAGCAATATCACAATAGCATCACCAGGCATCACAGCTGGGAGGAGTCATTTTCTAATCCTCCTCACATTTACCATATACTTGATCTTCATGAAAACTCTGTGAGTAGGCAGGAGAGATCATCGCCCCCAACTTGACAATGGAGAGCCTGAGGCACAGAGAGGGCGGGTAACCTGGCGTCAGGATCAGAGCCAGGACCAGAAGCCTGGTTTTCTGCCCTGCAGGCCAGGGCTCTCCTCACAGGACTGCAAGAGGCCAAAGCTGGTCATCTGCCTCATAACCGTGGGAGGGGAACGGGCCCTGGCCCCTGCCCTGAGGCACCCAGGTAACAGGGACTAATAGCACTGCAGATAGAAGCTAAGAATCCAGTTCTCCCGGCTACAGGGACTGCCCATTGCTCAGGAAGCGCTGGCGGAACCGCCTTATAGCCCAGAAGCATCAGGTGCCGTCTGAAAGACAAGCCCGTCAGAATCCCTGAGCAGGCAAAAGATGGGATTTGCAATTTTTTACAATGCACTAAACTTCACCTTAAAATAAGTATGAAGTCCAACCAAAGTTGAATTTTCCCCTGTGAAGGCCTCTTTACTGTTTCAGATGGAAGGCCAAATTCTGCCCAAGCCCTTCCATTTCGGGCTGCCCTGCTTTGCTGGTGCCCTAAACAAATGTTTAACTGCTCCTTGGGGGTGGGGAGCAAGCACAGGATTTGCTGGCCTTTGATCTTTGGCCTTTGGCCTCCGGGGCACCCGGGGCTGCCTGGTCCCATATGATGCTGGGGACAGGGAGAGGAGGTGGTTGGGGCCGGAGTCCAAGCATTTGTTTGGATGGAAGGCAGGAAGGTAAGAGAATGAGGGGAGGCAGGGGGCAGGTCTGCTACCGGGCCAACTGGGCAGCTGGGGGCCATTAGGGTGCAGACACAGAGGCAGGATAGGGGATGTTGAGGCAGGGTAGGAGAGGAAAGCCCTGACCATGGGCGGGTGTCGCCCCCCCTAGCTAGCCAGCACCCACATAGCTGGGCCACTGTTTACAGTGCGATGGGGCTGGAATAGGGGTCCTGGTGAGTGAAGCCACCTTTCCCATGGCCTTCCTCCTTCTACCCGAGGAGAATCAGGACAGGTTAGAGTTGTCTGCCTTCTACATCCATGGGCTGGGTAGGGACCACGGCAGAACCCACGGGCTGAGGAAGCCAGAGGCCTGTGTCCTGACACACTGCCTGTTAAGTCAGCTTCGGTTTCCCCCATGGCAAAATGCTACACCCAGTCCTGTCTCCCAGGTTTGATTTCTCCCCAAAAATCCATTTACTTTCCCATCAGATAGAAATGTACCTGAAAGTTCAGTTGGTTCGGAAAGCACATATTAGGTCCCTACTACATTTCAGGCCCCGTGATGTACACTTTGTAAATGAAACCCGGAACCTGGCCCAGAATCACAGTTGGCTGGTAACACCACCCCACAGCACCTGTTTCTGATTCTGCCCTTGGACTGTGTTGCGTCCATGGTGCCCCTACTGGGCGAGACAGGAACTGCAGGGCTCCCTGGAGGGAGCTGTGAGGGGAGCCTGGGAACAAGGAGGGGAAATGGCTGTCTGAACCTACCCCCCATGCACACACACAGAAAACCCTGAGGGCTGGAGCAGGACGGGTGGAGAAGACAGCACCTTCCTGACGCTTCTCTGGGGCGGCAGTCTGCACCCGCACCCCAGGCTCCATGGCAGAGTGCCAGATGCCCCAGGATGACTGCCTCGGTGGCCGCACCTGGGGAGGTCCCATTCCCACATCCCCCCGGGCGGAGGCAGGGTTGGAGCATTCCTTCCCTGAGCATATGCTCGCGTGTGCACACCCACATACCGACAACAAAAACACCCAGAGAAACCAAAGCCAGGAGCAGCGCCTTGTCTGGAACACGGAATGAGACAGGGGAGCCCCCCAGAGAGGGGACACGGAGGTGGGGGTCCTGGGGCTGCGACTCAGGCTGTGACTCAGCCCTCCTGGGACTCACAGAGACTGCAGGCTCGGCAGCTCCCGCAGCGCCTCGGCGGGGATCCGTCCCAGCTGGTTGTTCTGCAGCATCCTGGAAGGGGAGGGAAGGGCTTGAAGGACCCGCGTGGCACGCCGAGCTGGGGGTCCTCCCCGAGCCCCCTGCCCTGTGCCAGACCCCTCCCTCTTGCACCAGCCCCGGAGCCCCAGAAAGAGCCCTGGTCCAGGCCCCTGCCTGGCTCGTGGGGACTGAGAGGCTGCCGTGGTACTGTGGGTTGTGCACAGGGCTGGGAGGGGGTCTCAGAAGGGCTTCTGGGATGATGCAGGGCAGACGAGGGCCTTGGAGGGGATGCACGAAGGGCACAGTGAGGGCCAAAGTCAGACCACGAGCGAGTGTGCGGCAGGATGATCAGGAAGGATGCCAGGAGACGTGGGCTTTCCCCCCCAGGCCGTTCCCCTGGGACGCAGCTGAGAGGTGAAGGGTTCTTTGGAAGGGGAGGATGGGGATGAGGGCAAGCCCCCTCTAGGGTGGCAAGGCCCCAGGCAAATACATTTTTGTGGGGTCCTTGTCTATAGAAACAATTTGAGGCACCCCAGGTCAGCATGTCAGCACTGTTCTGAAGACCCAGTATCACACAATCCCACAAAAGAGGTGTGTGATCAGCTCAGCTCAGGAGGCTGCTTTCCTGGAACCAGTCCAGCCACAGGACCCCAGGATGGCCCCACAGGTAGGAGTCGGGGCACCTGGAAAACTCCACCTGCAGGATAGGGAGTCAGAGAGCACACTGAAGGGGAGAAATGGGAGTCTGGGTGCCCCCCAGGTGGCACTGCTGGCCCCTGCCTTCCCTAGGCATCAGTGCAGTCCTTGGGACATTCTGAGCAAGGCACAGGGAGGGAGTGCCCCAAGACACACGGTCCCGAGCAGGGATCCTGCTTGCCTGGTTCTGCGGGGAACTGCGTGAAGAGGCGGGAGGGAAGCCCCTGGGTGCCAGCTGCCAGCTGGATGTTCTTTGCCCAAAGGCCTCTCGACCCGAGCCCCAGAAGTGAGCAGGAGGCCCCATGGGGTACGGGCATGTGGGCGCGGCAGGATACAGAGGGCAACTGGGGAAGCAGCAAGGAAGGAAGCTGCCTGTTCCCCAGGCAGAGCCAGCAGGCCGCCCCCCAGGCTGCCCAATCGGTGCCTCGTCCTGCCACCCTGGGCCACACACAGCCCCAGAGAGGAAGGGTGTCACTTATAGGCCAGGCTTCTCGGGAACTGGGAGGGAATGAAGATCCAGTGAGTCCTACTATATGCCAGGTATGTCATCCGCCCTCCCTCTAGGGTGAATTGTCAACTCATCTTTTAGAGAGGGAAGCTCAGAGAAGAAACCCATCTTACTCAAGATCATTCAGGAAATACCACTTGCTTCAGGAAAAGTGGCTCCTTCCCTAAGCTTTAAGTTTAATAGTAACAGCTAACGCGCCTGGTCTTATAACTTTACATGTATTAACTCAAAACTTTTTCCAGAAGGTTTGGGTCCAGAGTCCCAACATGTACCCATCACACCACATTACTTCTGTCAAACAGCAGGAGACAGTGAAGCCCAGAAAATGCTGTCCTGAGTGTTACTGATGCCCCCGTGTGACTGTCCAGTCAGTCACACGTGTTGTCTCTCCTCAACTCCTTTTTAAAATCCCAAATGCGGATTGAGCCACAGCAGTACAAGAACCAAAGAATTCCAGGCCCACCGTGGGCATGGGATGGGAACTGAGAGGGGCCCTTGCCGACGGAAAGCCAGGGAAGGGGGAGGAGAGACAGGCTCTGGGGTGCCCCCTGCCCTGCCCTGGGGTGAGCAGACACAGCCTGGAGGAAGGGCTACAGGCTGCAGGGAGGGCAGTGCCGAGGGCCACGTCCCCCCACACACTGTGTTCCTGAAGGGCACGTGGCCTCCTCCAAGCCAGGCTCCACAGAGCGCCGAGGGACCCTTCCAATTGCAGAGTTTGGCTGCCTACGTGGAATTTAAACCTGCGCTTCTCAGGCTTCCTTAAAGTGTGGCGGTCACGCTGCAGGCCCTGAAGTCAGACAGCCCTGGATTTGCGTCTGCACGCTGCCCCGTCCAGCTGTGCGAGCGTGAGCACGCACTCAGACTCCTCGGGCCTTAGTGTCCTCATCTGTAAACTGGGGGTAATGAAACGACCTTGTACACTGAGGGTAAGGATTAAATCACAAAAACCCTGTCAAGCATGGCACTGTCTCACCTAAAGGAAAAGCTAGATAACATATTAACTGATATGATGATTACTGATATCCGGTCTCAGGTTTACCATATACAGGCTGACCTGAGTCAGTCATTTCCCCTCTCTGGGGCTCAGTTTCCTCACCACCAGAAGATGCATAAAGCCTCCCTCGGCTGTGACATTTCCTTCTAGGCCCTGCCTAGTACCTCTATCCTTCCCACCATCCTGGCCTCTTTCATCTAAAGAGCAGGAACTTCACTTGGGGAGCTCAGCGGGCCTTGATTCCCACCCAGAGGCCCCAGGATGCTTGGAGCAAGGACACAAGAGAACAATGTTGGGCAAGCCAGGGGGACACAGGCTGCTCAGGCCACCTCACAGGATCCCAGCCCTCTAAGGGTCCCGGAAACTGCAGACAGTCACCCTACAGACAGGGCCCCGCCCCATGAGCACCCTCCGCCCCACCCTCTTCAGATCCCCCACCCTTTCCTCTATTGAATCCCAGATCTAGAAAGATCTTCTTGCCTCCCAACCCAGACCCTGCGGCAGCTCTGAAGGGCACTTAGTCTCCCCTCTGGTGTCAGCGGACTCAGTGCCTCTGGCCACATCCCACACCAGACTGGTCATCAGGAAGCCCTGTGTTCATGCAATCACACCCACTAGGTGAGGTCAGCACGGCGACTGGCCCTGGACTCAGCCCTGTTTCCCCGGCTGCTCCTGGCCTTGTTTCTCAGCCATCACTCCTTTACTGAAACACAGCTGGGCATAAAAGCTGGAAGGGTCGTTAGGAGGAAAGGGCCCCTTTGTTTTCAAATGAGGAGACGGAGACTCAGAGGACCTGACTGGCCCCAAATGACAAAGCAAACTAATGGCAAATCAGGCCTGGGGTCCAAGGCCTGCCTCCCGCACCAGTGTTTTTGCGACCATGTTTCCCTGCTTCTCTCACTGGCCCTGGTTGTGCCCAGTGAGGCACAGTCTACATTCCTGAGTGGTTCTGAACCCAGGCTGCACATTAGAATCATCTGGAAGAGTTTTTGAATCCCAGTGTCCAGGACACACTGCAGCTCGCTTAGATCTCTGGGGCAAAGTCTGTGAGTGAGGAATATTGCACCCTTTGTCAAGCTCAGCTGCCCCTACCGCACAGCCGTAGGCTCTCAGCACCCTCCCCTCTTCACTGGGAAGCACACGCTGGGGGAATCTCTGATATCCAAGAGGCACCTGGGGGCTGTAACCATGGGTGTGTCAGCCAGAAGGTTCCAGAGAGGTGACCCACCAGTGGTTTCCAAAGGTCCTTAGGTTCTGTGGGGGTGCCTCGGGGTCACTGGGTGGGTGAGGTGGGGAGGGTGGGAAGATAGAGCCTGGGGTCCACCACCTTCCTCATCTACTTTAATCGGAGAATCCTCCTTCATCTGCTTTCTGTACCAAAGGACTTCTACACAAGGTGTTTTTAAGTTTCTGCAGCTAAACAGGTTGGGAAATTTATTTCAGGGTCTCCATTTTAAAGGTGAGAAAACTGAGGCCCAAAGAGAGGAAATCTGAATGTCCTCCTTGACACCTGTTGTGGGATCTGGGGAGGCCTCGGAGTCGGGGCTCAGGACTCCCTGCTGCGCAGGAGACCCACCTCCTGGCAGCCAGTCCTCAATGGGAGGCGGCAGTGGGCTCTCCTGCAGGAGGGGCGGGTGTCCCTGGGCTCCGGGAGCCTAGGAAGCCTTGCCCCACGAGCCAGGCTGAGACGCTCAGAGCTGAGCACCCCAAACACCACCTCTCCTCCGGTCAGCTCAGTTCATTTCACTAACACCGAGGAGCCCAGCTCTGGGCCGGGCAGGGCCACTGTCCTGCGGGTGTCTGGGGAGCACATGCAGGGAATGCCGGCCTGAGGCCATTCAATATGTATGAAGAGGGCAAAGCTAATGGCCAAGGACCGCAGGGAGATTTCCACAGGGACGGAGCCTGAGGGATCCTCAGCCTCTCCCACTCCTCTGTGGCCCCAAGCCAGAGCTTCCGACAGGATGGGCCCCAGATGGGGGAGCAGCTAGCTGCCCTTCCTAAACCTTAGCCTTTACCGAGATGTCTTGGGCTGGGAATCACAGATGACAGACTGTCGAGGATTCTGGGCTTAACCCGGGAGCGAGGCATCTGGGAAAAATCTCTCACCTGCCCTCCTGGGGACACAGGAGGAGCCAAGTCCTTGAACAGCCAGCCCCTGCCGCCTACATCTGGGTCTGGACAGAGGTAAGTGAGGCCCTACAGGAGTCTTTCTAGATGGGCCAAACCAACCTCACATAGGTGCAGGGGCCCTGGCTGGAAGGCAAGGCCCAAGCAGGTCTCTGGAAGGGCAGCTATGGGGAAGGAGGGGCCACACACACACACTCTCCGACCCACAGACCCTGCCTTTCCCCCTCCTCTGTGTGAGGCAGGAGCCATTTAGGGCATTCCGGCTCTCTCCCCTCAGGCTGTGGGTCAGGATGCAGGAGTGGCACAGCTGCCCCCTCCCCCTGAAAGGTCACCAGGCCTGCCACACACACCTGGAGCAACGAGAGCCTGGCTTCCCTTGGACAGCTGCAGCAGGGGGACACGGACAGGGGCGTGGATCTCAGCACCTCAGCCTTCACAACTCTACAGGACAGGCATTCCTACCTACAGTCTCAAAAACAGGCTTGAGGGCTGAAGTTCCTTCAGGGGCTGATTCCCCCCACCTGAGTCAGGGCCTGTGGGGTTGAAGACTTGGAAAACCAGCAGAGAAAGGAGAGGGTCCCAGGAACAAGACCTCCAGGTCAGGCGTGGAGCTGGGATGGAAACGGCAGAGGAAGGGGTCCTGCCAGTCACTTAGGAGAGGATCACAGAGGGGATCCCCTGCTTGCCCTTTGCTTCTGGGAAGGGAAGGGGGGAGGCAGTGTGTCCTGCAGGGACAGCCAAGCCTCAGAGAAAGGAAGATGGGGTTCACATAGGAGTGCAGACATAGAGGAGACTGGGAGCAGCTACGGTGACAGTTTCCAGGTGCAAAAAGAGTATTAAGCTGGTGAAGGGCTTCACTGCTCTATTTCTCTTTCAGATCTGAAAAACGAGCAACGGCAGGACCCCAGTGCAAGAGAACTGACAGCAGACACCACAAGGAACTTCTTGCCCAGATGCAGGTGGAGCCCCTTCACTGAAACACTGGAGTAAGAAAATAAGTTCCCGAAAACCACCCAGTTCATCTCTGAAGTAGAGAAGCTCTGCTGACCCAAAGGCTCTGGGGGGCTGGGTGGTCCTCGGGGAAGGGGCAGAGGCGGGGCCAGTGGCAGACCGGGCAGCGGACGGTCTGGCTGTCCATGGCTCCCACCAGCAGCCTCTCCCAGCCGCCCAACTCACAAGCCAAGGGCACTGTTTGGAAAAAGGGGGAGGGTGGCCTGCGGTTTCTCCAGGGCTTTGATTTATTGCCTAATGCAGGCAACGAAGAAAGAGGAGGCTCATCTCGAGGCCGGAGTCTTAGAAACGGGACATGAGTCTCACATCTTCTGAAGGCCCAGCAAACAGAGCCTGCTCTCTAATCCGGGCTGCAGGTCTGAGCCTGCCACTGGGCAGACATGTCACCAAGCAGGCTGCCTGCCCCGTGCGTCTGTTCAGGATGCCTCCCCACCCCCAGCGCAGCAATGTTGACGGGGAGCCAGAGAGAGAAAGAAGCCGGAAGGAGGACTGAGAGGTGGGGTACAGAGCAGCAGAGGGCAAGGTCTGAGACAGAGCAGAAGAAGGAAGGAAAGACAGGAGGCTGAGGCTGGGGCAGAGACAGGAGGACCCAGGGGCAGAGCGGGGAGCAAGGGAGGGTGAGAGACAGAGGCAGACGCTCAGAGGCAGATCAAGAGATGTGGAGGATGAGGTGCCAGAGACCAACAGGGTGGGAGGAGAGAGAATGCTTGGACATGGTGCACAGACCGTTGACCAGCAGGAAGCCTGAAGCTCACTGATGCGAAGGCAGGGCTACAGCTAGGCCACAGACAACTTTGAGCAAATTAGAGAGAGAGATTCCTTTCTAGGTAATGGTAGCCCCAAGCCAGGCACAAGACTGGATGGCAGCCTCTCTTACCCCCTCAGCCAGATTTGCTTGTGCAGTAAACAACCTGCTCTACTGTACAAAGAAGACACGCAGGTCACGTCAGGGCTGAGGGAGTAGCAGAGCCGGGAATGGCTCACCACTTCAGGGAAGCTCCAAATGCTCATTCTATTGCTCCAGGATCGGCCTCTAAGATGGTCATTTTTTCCAACCAGTCCCTGTGGTGATGTGCCCTCCCAGGAACCTCTGCTACCCACCTTCAGAAGGACTCTGCTCATCCACATAAGAACGTGACGGGCTTGGGGCAAAGTGTGGGACCCAGACTGGGATGGAAGGAGACGGTTTTCCATTTCCCCGTCTCTGAAATGGACCATCAGTTCCATGGCAAGAGGAAAGTTAGGTGAAATAATGTAAGATTCTCTTCCAATTCTCACTTCCCTTTTGCTGCAAAGGGAAGATGAAAGGAGCTGGGATGAAGGAGCCCGAAAACTGAAGGGGGAGAGACGTTTACAGTGAGGGTGGGAACTCAGGGTCTCGAGAGGAAGAATGACCAAAGAAAACCGATCCGGAGTCCTCTCCAGAAATAGTCGTACCCTCTCCTGGCCTGAGAGGTCTCAGGGGGTGGGCCCAGGTCGGTAATGGGGCCCAGCCTCACCAGGACTTACACTGGGCGTCTTACTCACATTACAAGTACATATATATATATATGCATACATTTTATATATAATGTATTTTATATATTTCATATATAAATATAGTATATATTTCACTTCCCTATAAGGTTGCCATAAATACCAGGTGCAGCTGTATGCTTATTTCCAGGTGGTAAAGTGTGTTATAGACAAGGTGAGAGCAAAGAAATGGAAATTACAATTAAAATGAAAATAAAGATAAAGAAATAAGCAGGTCGGTGACAAATCAAGACTCAAGAATTTTCCCACAGGTCTCCAGGGCATACTGCTATATAAAGCGGGGTGTGCTGATATTATACTTACAGGATTTTCAGGCTGTAGAGACCAGAGAATGCTTGTCCTGGGATGTGTGAGAGATGGTTCCCAGAGAGTCGCCTGCCAATCAGAGAAAAGGGTCAGGGATAGTGGCAGGGGACCCTAGAAGGGGTGGCATCCCTTAGACCAAGTCTTGGGTATGGGAGGGGAGTCTGGTGGTGATAACTACCATTACTGAGATCTACGATGTGTTCAATACTTTACCCCATCATCTCATTTAATTATCACAGCAACCACGTCAGGTGCCTAATATCATCCCCAAATTTCAGAGGAGGAAACCAAGGTTCAGAGAGGTCAAGTCACTTCCCCCGAAGGTCACAAAGTCAGTGGCAGAGCATATGTTCCACCCAGAGCTGACTGACTTCTGGGCTCGCATCTGCTCCCCAGTGCCACCTTTTCTGTGCTGCCCTGGATCACCCAGTCTGTCCTCAGTTCTGAACTGCAGCATACCCTGTCCCCAGTGGATGGTTATATGCAGATGGGGTGGAACCGTGTCTCCCCACGCCCTAAGCTACACAGCAACCCCACTAATCCAGCTGGGTTAGGAAATGGGGCCCTGGAGTTGATCCAGCACTCTGGTCTAATTAAGCATTTCCATGTTTGTTACAGGGCAATCACCAATTCTAAGAGCAAACGTGATGAGATGTACTTAATGCTAAACCCTGACTGGGCAGAGCTTAACTAGCTGATTCAGAAGGAACTTGGGATCGCTAAAGTCCCCGGTGACATGGCGACTGTGCATCAGTTCCCACCAAGAGGCCTGCCACTGTGGAGGCTGTGCTGACATACCTCACAAGCTATTTTTAAAAAATACATCTCCAAAAATAATCTTGTTTTTTGACATTTGTCGTTTTTTAAAAAGTGTGGAAAGGTATCATGATATTTGAGGCCTCCAGATGGGTTCTATAGTGGGGCCTTTAAACTGTGCCCACGCCCCCTCAGGGCCTCATACCCTCAGCCGCGCCCCAGCGGGCACCTACCCCCAGCTCTCTACTTCTGCTCTTGCTCTTCATTCCCACCCAAGACTTGTCCCTCTACCTCGTAAGGCCCCGCCACGGCGTCTCCCTGTCACTCCCTCTGAAAACTGGCTTAACATTCCTCCCCCAGGAAAGACCCTGCCCCCCAGGCAGCCCACCTGCCCTGCGCGCCCCTGGTGCCCACAGCCCGCTGCCGCACCCACGCACCCCCTTGCTGCGCGCAGCTCTGCAGCCTGCCCTGGAGCTCCTGACGGCAGTGGGCGCGTCTTTTACTTTGTTTCCCCCAGAGCACCTTGAGCTCACCTTTCACAGGGAGAGGGCCGGGTAAGTACTTGGTCTGGAAAACCCAGCCATGGCCCTGGGGGTCAACGGGATCATAACACCGGCAGGGGCAGGCTGACTGCATTCTCGGGGGGACACTGTCTAGGATGGAGATGGGGAGATCTGCTGGGGAGCAGGGGGGCCAGAGAGGGGTTGGGATGGTGACAGTTTTCAGGGTAGGAGCCCACAGTTTGCAGTTTAAGCAATCCTTAGTAAAGCCACAAGGATCTATGGTGAAGTGAAAACAAGACTGGGCAGGCTGGGAGGCACTGGAATAGAGAGAAGACGGAAGTTAGGGTTGCGAGCAGAGAGATCAGCTTCCAGGGCAGGTAGGCCGGACCCTCTCGCTGGGGAGGTGATTTACCCATGAGCACACCTGCAGCAGAGCCGGCCTTAAGGGTCCCAGGCTGGGAGCGGCGGCCATGGGAAGGGATAAAGCAGGGAGGATTTGTGGGGGCAGCGGCCCTGTGCTTGGCCCTGATAGAGGAATGGGGTGTGCCTGAGCAGACAGGGAGATGATGGGCATGCCAGGTCAGAGGGGAAATCTCCTGCTCCAGTGCAGGCAGAAAACCAGAATGGTTGGCAGGACTGGCCTCACTGGGGCAAAGCTGGCCAGGCAGATTGGGCCAGGTGAGGGAGGGTCCCAGAATGGGAGCCTTTGGGCCCCGGGAACCAGAGAAGGTTCTTGAGCTGGTGAGAGGCACCCTGGGGATGGCCAGGGTGTGTTAGAAAGGAGGTGGGGAGCTGTCAGCTAGGTACCACCCCTGATGTGAGGGCACATCTAGGACAGTAGCAGTAAATGAGAGGAGAATTCAGAGTGAGAGATAACCCAGAGGACGACCAGCAGGACTTAGCTGGACGCAGGGGATGCGAGCAGGACAGAGATGCTCCCAGGACCAGGTGCAACAGCAGACAGAGGCGAAGCTGCAAAGAGCAGGCTTCAGGGAGGAAAGAGAGCTAGACTTCAGAGTTCTTAGGCCACGCGGCCCCACACTGCCACCCTGGGGTTCACAGCTGGCCAGGTATCAGCTGAACACCCTGCTGTCAAGGACAGCCTCCCAAGCGCCTTTCCTCTGAGCTCCACCCCTCCTCCCGAGGAGCCCTGGGTCCTATAATTAGAGGACCTGAGCTTCGCCCCCCAGCCCCGCGAAGCATCTACTCACAGCTCCTCCAGGAAGCGCAGGTGGTGGAAGAGGCCCGGCTGAAGCTCCGTGAGGTTGTTCATGCTCAGGTCTCTGTGCGGAGAGAAGATGGGAGGGGGCTATGAGCTGCCAGACACTGCAGGGATCCCCAGCAGTCCCTGTAGCCCCCCAAACACAGTGGGCCATCCCGACTCCTAAGCCAGCCTGGCAACAGCAACTGCATCCTGTAAGGATGTGCACTGGGCTGGGAGTCGGGCCCTCCAGGTCCATATGCTCCATCTCTCCACAGTCTCCCCAGAAATGGCTATGATTAGGACTATGAAGAAAGTTCACCTGTAATGGAGGTAGAGAACAATGCACAGTTTCAGAGCAGGATGGCATGGGTCAGTTCCTATAAATAATAACTTCTTGCCCTTTATTTTTACCAATGGGGAAACTGAGGCTCTGAGATCCCTGCCATTCAGATATAGGAGTGGGCTCGCACCATATGCATGCACTGGTGCCATCATCCCTGGCAGGGCCACAGGGAGCCATCCTCTCATCCAGCCCCAGGGCCGGTGGGGCTCTTCGGGGTCTCTGCCAGTCACTTCCCTATATCTTCTCTCCTTCCACCTTCCACAGCAGAGGACATGAGCTCCGAGTATGTCTCAGAAGATGCCTAGACTCCTGGGGGTGGGATGAGGTCCTGATCCTGCATGGGTTTCACCCCTTAGATCTCCAACCTGCTGACCTCTCCGAGAGACCATGTGGGTGGTTTCACGGTCACTGTCTTCTAAGATGCCCTGCACACAAAATAGTCATGACAGTGAGAGCTGACATTTACCAGAGAGGCCCACTCTGGGCCAGGCACTGGCTAACCTTTATCCATTTAATCCTCACAGCAAGCTCAAGGTAGATTCCATTTTATCTCCATTTCATATCCAAGAAAACAAAGAGGAAAGAGCATTGAGTGTTGCAGTCAAAAGGCCCTGAGGTCAGCTCTCTCCTCCATTACCTATCAGACCCTGGGCTCTTAGCTACTACGACCCGGTTTCTTCATCCATAAAAAGGGGATGAATAACTCAGACGGTGCATGTTGCCTCATATATTTGGGTTTCATCCTATTTCAGACCCCTAACAGCTGCTCCTTGCCTCTGCCAGCCCCCGCCCCGGAGGAGCGCAGAGGGGAGCCCAGAGCAGCCACCCCGTTGCTGGGCACGCCCGCCACAGGCCTTCCTGCAGCCATTGCCCTGCCCTAGGAAGGCACCTTCGCCACCAGACCTGTGTCCCCATTGTCCCCCAGGAAACGAGTGTGCCATGTGAGTGTGCTCAGAAAGGCAGGCTGGAGATGGCAGGGGAAACGCGCTTGGAGCCCGGTTCCAATCTATAAAAAGACTGTTTAGTCTCCAGTGTTTTATCTTTGATAAAGCTTGGACTCCAGACGCCACGGCCCCCAAGGAGGAAGACACTCTGTGCAGGGCAGAGCCAAGGAGCTGGCATGCCCAACTCAGGGCTGGCGCTTGTCCACAGCTCCCTCCTGGCTCCATGCGCGAACAGAAGGGCCACCCTGGGTCTGCCTGTCTGGGAAGGAGGCCGCCAAAGGCGTAGCTGATGCACTGGTAGTCACAGTTCAAGGAGTGGAACCACGGAAGGTCGTCGATGAATTTTCGGCCAGAGTTTGGTTCTCAGGATGTTTTCAGGCTCCACTAGCCTCACGCTCTGGCAGAAATGTGCAGATGCCAAGGTTCTCTGGCCAGGGGCAGGGGAAAGCACGGTGAGGCCCAGAGAGGCCTGGGCCACGGGACCTCCCCCTCGAGTTCTGGGCCTGGCTCATCCTCAGCCAGGCCGGGAGGCACGAGCTGCTGCAAAAACGATTACCTCTGAATATTTACCCTGTGCATTTCTGGACGTGTCTCCGCAGGAGCGTGAGCGGGAGTTCAAGGAGCACGTGGGGCATGTGACTCAGGGCTCATCACTCAGCTGTCCCTCCGGGGGCCGCACCTCGGAGGCTCTGATGTGGCTCCATGCCCCCCCAACCCCGACTAGCGGCTTCCTTGTTCTCCCTGGGGAGGAGGGGGCCGTACCCCCAACCCGCCCCCACATCCTGCCGGAGAACAACTGCCCAGCTGCAGTGCTCAGTTGCAGGGGTGGGGGGTGGCAAAGAGGGTTGGTTTCAAATGGTGGGGGCGGGGGAGCCCCATTCAGGTCCGGCCCTCTCACAAAAGGAAAGGGGTGAGGCTGGTGCCAAGGGACCGGGAAGGAAGAGGAATGTGAAGGGCGGGAAGAGGGGGTGCGGTGGAGGTTTCAAAGCTGAGCTCCTCTGCCCTGATGCCCCAGGCCCTAGGAAAGGGTAGGGGCCCTGGCAAGAGGCTCTGGGCCCTGCTGTGGGGGACACTGGGCCCGGGCACCTCGGGGCAAACGTGGAGAAGCTCTGCCCTTCACGGGGGAGGTCCTGTAAAGCCGGCAGTTCTGATGACTTTCCTGAAAGGCCCGCTGCCCTTGTGTAACCCAGAGGGCCTCGCTCAGACACGGGGCCCCGCCTGGGACTGGGGGAAATGAGGCCGCACTGACCCTTGGCGTGCTTGGGGCTTGCCTGGGGCTGCATCTGCTTGTCTGGATGGACTTGTAAGTATTTACGGGAGGAAGGCCCGGGGCACGTGTTAGGATAATGAGCTCTCGATGGGCTTGTCTTGTGGGGTGCCGGCATGTGTGTGTTATGTGTGAGGGCACACGTGTGGATCTGTGTAAGTGCATGTTAGAGTGTTGTACTGTTAAAAGTCAATAAACTTTCTCCAAGCATCCACATGCTATAAAATCAGAAACTCTTTGGGAGAAACAAATAGCCTCGTCCAAGTCTCACCTCTTCATTGCCTCTGTGACCTGGGGCAAGCCTGGTGCCTCTTCTTGGCCTCAGGTCTCCTCTCTGGCCTATCCTGTGGCTCCAGGAAGGAGCCCAGGTCACTCAGTGATGCTGTCTTGGGGTCCGACTTGTGGCCAAAGCGGATACCTGATGCCTGAACTCTGCTCCTACTCCACCACAACCAGCCCACGACCATGACACACACACACATGTGCGTGCGTGCTGCCACTCTCCAGGACTGGTTTCATGGGCATGTGACCCATGCATTTGCACAGAAAGCCACACTCAGAGGTCCCAGCTTAGTTTAATTCTCTGCCATTATGGTTTTGAAATTTTTAATCACTTTTGAACAAGAGGCACACATTTCCGTTTTGCACTGAGCCCTGCAAACTGCTCCTCGCAACTGAGCTGCAAGGGGGTGGATGGGATGGGCTGCGACCCTGTACTGAAGCCTTCTCAGCAGTCCCTGGGGTCCCCAGAGGGGCTATGTGGCCTCTCAGCTGACACAGCCATTTGGGGGGGGAGCAGACAGGACAGGGTCCGTGGGGTAAAGCTGCCAAGGCGGGGCTGGGAGGGGAGAGAAGACAGGGGCAGCCCTGGGCACGGGAAGTGGAAGTTTCTGGCCGCACATTAGGAAAATATTCTCAGAGCTTTGCCCTGTGAGGTAACCAGACCACCCAAGAAAGCCAGGTGAGGCACTGTCACCGTGGAGACAAGGAGCAAGGTTTGATAAGGGGTGACGCTGGTGAGGGAGAGCGGCAGGATCCGGCCCCCACGGCACGCCCGGTGATCTGGCCCCTGCCCCAGGGCCTGGGGGATTTGCTGGGCCTGCATTCTTCCTCTGGGGAGCAGAAAAGGCAGGAGGCAATGTGTCTGGGTTCTTCAGGGATGGACCCAGAGGGACTGTCCCCACCTGGCTGGAAAAAAGGTCCAGGAAACAGAGCCCTGTTTTGTACCGTCTCCACCCTGGACTCAGGTTGCCCATCTCTGCAGCCAGGTAAAAGTCAGTTAGTGGCCAGGAGATGAGCCCCTGCCCTGTGTGTGGCTACGCCCCAAGCTCACTGCCTTTGTGAGGCCCTCCCCAGCACCTCCGGGCAGAGCTGAGGCAGCGTCCTGCCTGTGCCTGCAGGGCTTTGTGCATGCTCCCTCAGCGGTGGTTTCTGAGCTCCTACCACGGGCTGGCACCACCCCGGCGTTTATGATTGCCCTGTCCCATGCCAATTAGCTGTGTGATCCTGGTCATATCTCTTGATATCTCTAAGCCTCCATGTTCCCACCTGTAAAATAGGAATAATCATAATGCTTGCCTCACAAGGGCTGTAGTAAGAATTATATGAGTTAATAAATGTGAAACAGTGCTCAATAAACATGCCTTATTATTAATATTACACTCTAACTGAATTATAATGATCTGTGTATAATAACCCCTATGACTATGAACTTTCTCAAGGCAAGGATGTAATCTTCGTCCTGTCTGGATGCTTCAGTCCTGGCAAATAAACATTTAAATGAATGCATTACAGACATAAGTGTCTCTTGCTGCGGCTGACAGCCCTCACCCTAGGCAAGGCCTTCCTGCTGTCTGACTTGAAGTTCTCCCACTGCTACTTTAAAGGCATAACCTCTGTAAAGAACCTAGTCAGTACTTAGTTCCAAGTACTTCACAATCAGTGGGGTAGCTGCTACAGTGCTCACTCTTCTCTGAACTTGGCAACCTCTAGAGAAAGCAAGATGGGGGTCCTCCTCTCAAGGATCCCTCCGGCACCTGCCTTGGCCTTCTGTCCCCGACTCGGCCCTCATGGGCTGCCGTTACAACCTGAGGGAGCGGCCCTTCCCCCACAAGGGCTGGGCAGGGCTGGCCACATGTCTGGCCATGGTGGGGACAGTGTGGGGGCCGTCAGGGAGCAGGACCTCCCAGCAGGGGACCCGTCCCACCCAAAAGGGCCAGTAGGTAGGCTGGCTGACGTGGGGACCATCTGGTGCTTGGAGAACACTTGCTGAATTCCTCTGTCAACCAATAAGACAGGTGACAGTAGAGAGGAAAGAGCCCAGAATCTGGAATCAGGGGACCTGGTTCAATCAAGCCAGTACCATGGCCCCTTCCAGGCCTGCGGTTCCTTGTGCTCCGCACAGTGCAGGGCGTGTCAGGGGGATGGAGGGAATAGCAGGGCAGGGTCTGAGCCCTTGAGGAGTTTACAGTGTTGCCAGGGAAGGACTGTTTACTCACAAAGTCACAACAAAAAACCCACATATG